AATTCATGGTTTCGCTCTTCTACCAGGCGACTTCCAGAGGGCCCCGCCTCTTCAGATGCCGCATAGGCTGCAGCACGTTCATCCCGCAGGGTGCGGTTGGAATCCTAGCGGGTAAATCATGGATTTTTAAGGTTAAACTCCATCCATGTTTAGCACCTATAAATGGGCAATGTTTTAAAGCTATGTTGAATCACCAGCGGCTATTCTGAAGTAATGTTAGTATCTATGTGTATCTATCTGCATGGATATGAGAAAGGCCGTGAATGGCACTGGTACATAAAGATACGCACGACGTACAAGAATAGTTTGAAAATTGAAGATGGAACAAAGAGAACCTGCCTGCATTTAGGTTTGTCTTAAAATGGTGGGCCTCCAAAATGGTGATGTTCAATATATGTTTTCCAAAAACACATCAATAAACCATTGTTTTTTAAGGGATACCCAATTATAAGACTAGCCGCCCATTTGACGCTGGGACAAACTTTGTCTGTCGTTGTGACTGTTGCCCTCCTGCAAGGTCTTCAAGGTCTCTTGTAGCACTTCAAACTCGGCCTGGGATCTTTGATGCCATGGCTGGGAAACTTTCAACCATCATATTCAATGGATCTTGATCTGGCTTAAAACATGTTAAAACCATTCAACATCCTTTCCTTCACACCCAAATAGCTGAGATTTATACTTGTTTCATGATTTGTGGATGTTCATCCAGCCCAAAATGCAAGGATTTCATAGGTTTGGATCATCCCCTCATGGGCCATCTTCCCGTGCCTTCTTTGCCATCAGAGATTGTTCTGCCTGTGCGACGTGTAAAATTGCTTGCCGCTTTCAAACGTTTCAACTAGTTTCAACCCATCTTCCAAATATAGAGGATGATAGTTGGTTACAGTCTATAGTTCAGGACACATTTTCGATTTACCATCATTTTTGGCCAGTGGGTTTGCAGTATACTACCAAATCAACGGCGTCCAGAAAATGTAGGTGCAATTGTGCTGTCTACGCATGCCATATGCATGCAAAATCCAGCTGGTTCGTGGTTGAGCCATTCCTATGGCAGCAAATAAAATACCTTCGGTCCAAGAATGATTCATTGTTAAAAACTCCTGGCGATGCAAATGCTGTTGCATGAGCCAAGAGCGATAAGAACAGTTGATGGCGGCGCGAGTCAATCCGCACGCCGCAGCTACTGACAACTGCAGCAATAAAGGAAAAAGGGGCGGTATCAACTAGACTAACTAGACATTAAACATATTTGAACAGTTTCGAAACCACCACCGAGCCAGCCATGCCTGGACCCCCACCACTGTTCCATTGCTGGATCCATTACTGGCACCTGCTCTTGGCTGATGAGCTTTTGCTGCACCTTTTGCTCCAGCTCTGCTTTGTCTTGGCTTAGCAAGGCACCTTGGGACTCAAAGTTGTTGAACATGCCCCATGTATAGTGATTTACCTATTTAAAGTTGTGATTTTACGTAAGTATGTTGGTTTACCAGAGGGCAGCATGGCTGCTTGACAATTGATGATCATTGAGCCTGGCCATGATCAAAGGAGCTGCCATCGTTGAACTACCATTGATTCCAAATTGATCTGGCACAACCACCTCACCTGTACATTCCCCTGGCCCTCGAACCCGGCAATAGAATATCACGGGTGACTTACCACATTCTTTATCGAGGGTGGATGGTTTTAGTGAGGGTGGAGGCTCTTCACTGAGGGTGGAGGCTGCAATGTATCAACCAAGTCACACTTCTCCGTTAAACGATGTGCTTCTTGGCTTTGGGATTTCAGTTCCGACTGGCGCGATCCACACGGTCCGAACCATTTTTGTGGAAACCACACTGACAAAGCCAAATCTAGCTTGGCAAGCGCTTGCAAAAACCCTCAAAAAGCAAAATGGAGCCTTGTCTGGCTTACTATATGTATGTTTTATGTATGCTTGCCCACAAGTCCTAGTGATCATAGTGCTTCCTTGTAACATCGTAGCATGAACTACCATCAAGCCAGTGCACCGACCGGCGCTGCCTTGGCACGAAGTTCCCGTTCTTCAACTGCCACATATGCCTGGGCCGGGTGCAATCTCAGCAGGTCATTTTACAATTTCTGCATCTCACAACGGTGCTACAGTGGTCAAATGCCACCGTACATTTACATAGCTTGAGAGAGATCTTCAACGTTGAACCAACGCTAACACCGCCAAACCAAAAAACATGTGGTTCCAACCGGCCTCAAAGACAGTATTTCAAGTGGACACGTCATCCCAGGTGGAGATGGTTTTCGAAAATGGGGTACCGCAGGTCACCATGGATGGTCTAATGACTGGGATCATTTGGGGTACCCCCATGACTTGAGAGGGAAGGGTGAAAGATCGAAAGGTAGGCGTGGGTTGGAACAGGAGAAGAGAGCAAGGGAAAACGGGCATTTCGGCCAGGTTCTCCCAGCCCCCGATCTTAATATGTTTTGTTTTCGATTTTTTGTAATCACAGAATCCGCTGCGGACGGACGTGGGTGGAGTTGGGGCGGATATCGAAAAAAGTCTTCTGGGCTTGGACTCGAGGGCGGGTACCAAAAAGGCAGGTTTCAGGGAGGGGGGACACGACACACACACAGACACACAGACATATATATATATAAATACATACATATAGTTAGATATATGTATAAATATCAGGTTATGGGGTTTGCGAGGCAACGTGTAACTGGGGGCAGCACATTGTTGCAACGCGGATGGGGTTGATTCTGGTGTGTACATGTGTAGAACAGTGTGGGATTCACAAACGTGGTGTTTTGACCCCAGCATGTACCCAAAGCAACTGACTTAGGGCTATCCTGGTGCTGGAATCTTGGTGCAAAAAGTGGGCCCGCGGGGTGACTTCTTGCAAACGCGGCTTTAGAGGCGGACCTTGGGGGAATCGAAGGGGGGGGTTCAAGATAGTTGTGATAATTATGTTCTAGTTATTATAGTAATTCTAGTCATTATAGGTGTTCTAGTTATTATACATGATAACTATATATATACGAATATACATATATATGAAACATATTGAAATGTCATTAGCGAAGTCTTTTGGTTGAAGAGAATATCTTGGAGGAACCCTTGCGGAAAATCCACCAAATGATCTAGATATGCTGAGCAAGGGGCAGCGATTATGCTTCGGCAACCACTAGCCAAAGCGCAATATCCCACAATTGCTGGGTAGAGTATGCATATATATATATACGAATCTATATGTATATTGAGATTATTTAGTATATATGGATATATATCATGGAATTATTATGTGTATATATATTTATATAGATACATATCTTTAACTATATTGTCGAAGGAAGTTGAGAAGCTAAACTTCCGACAATATGGACAGATGAAAAGCAGAGCAGGGCAGAGGCAGAGAGAAGAGAAAGTTCAGAAGAGAAAGAGTCAGAAGAAAGAAGATGCAGATGCGCGAAAAGGAAGGAAAGTCGCGATTCACTGTGTTTTTCCAATGATTTGTGGTTCCGGAGGGTCGAAAAGTAGGCTCGCTAAAGCGGCGGGTGTGGAGACATATGGGGAGATGAGACATGAAAAATTGCACGCCGTTGTGGCGCGAAGCACATTTCCAAGTCAAAATGCACAAAACACCAGAGGATCGGACCACTTTTGGCGCTTCAGATGTCGAAAAAGTGCACGCCATTGTGGCGCAAAGCACATCCCCAAGTCAAAATGTACAAAACACACCAGGGTCTGACCACTTTTGGAAGTTGCGATGTCGAAAAAGTGCACACCGTTGTGGCGCGAAGCACATGTCCAAGTCAAAATGTAGAAAACACACCAAGTGCGGACCACTTTTGGCACTTAAGATGTCGAAAAAGTGCACGCCGTTGTGGCGCGAAGCACATTTCGAAGTCAAAATGTTAAAAACACTAGGGGTTCGGACCACTTTTGGAGGCTCAGAGGTCGAGTTTCGAAAAAGTGCACGCCGTTGTGGCACGAAGCACATTTCGAAGTCAAAATGTGCAAAACACCACCAGGGGTTCGAACCACTTTTGGAGGCTCAGAGGTCGAGTTTCGAAAAAGTGCACGCCGCTGTGGCGCGAAGCACATTTCGAAGTCAAAATGTACAAACCACACCATGTTCGGACCACTTTTGGAGGCTGAGATGTCGAGTTTCGAAAAAGTGCACGCCGTTGTGGCGCGAAGCAGATTTGGAAGGTAACATGTTAAAAACACTAGGGTTTCGGACCACTTTTGGCGGTTCAGATGTTGCTTCGCTTAACTCGATTACACTACATGACACTACACTTTGCTGCACTACACTACATTACACTACATTACATTACACTACACTTCACAACACTACAGGCTACAACTACAACTACACAACTACAGTCCACTACAGTCCACTACACTAAATTACACTGCACTACACTCTCTACACTACACTTCACTACATTACACTACACTACACTCCACTACACTCTCTTACACTAACTTCACGAATACAATACAATACCACCCAAGTACAATAATAATAAAACTAAAACTACCCAACTAAAAGTAACACTTTACACTCCAATACAAACATTAAACTACACTACACTACCTTACACTAAAACAACGACACTCACACAACACTACAAAAAAACTACAACAACTACACTACAATACACTACAATTACCTTACACTACAATACATTACACCTACACTAGACTCCACACACTAACTAATTACAACTCTACACTACCATGCCCTAACTTCACGACACTTTACTCTACACTACACTACACTACCACCTAAACTACAACTAAACTCCACTACATTACACGACATTACACTACACTAATTACACTGAATGGACACTGCACAAAAGATGAGAACAGGTAGACAGCTAGACCGATGATAGATATGATAGATATGATAGATATGATAGATATGATAGATATGATAGATAGATAGATAGATAGATAGATAGATAGATAGATAGATAGATAGATAGATAGATAGATAGATAGATAGATAGATAGATAGATAGATAGATAGATAGATAGATAGATAGATATGATAGATATGATAGATATGATAGATATGATAGATAGGATAGATAGGATAGATAGGATAGATAGGATAGATAGGATAGATAGGATAGATAGGATAGATAGGATAGATAGGATAGATAGGATAGATAGGATAGATGGATAGATAGGATAGATAGGATAGATAGGATAGATAGGATAGATAGGATAGATAGGATAGATAGGATAGATAGGATAGATAGGATAGATAGGGTAGATAGGATAGATTAGGATAGATAAGGTAGAGAGGATAGATAAGTAAGATAGATAGATAGATAGATAGGATAGATAAGATAGATAGGATAGATAGGATAGATAGGATAGATAGGATAGATAGGATAGATAGGATAGATAGATAGATAGATAGAGGGATAGAGGGATAGATCGATAGATCGATAGATCGATAGATCGATAGATCGATAGATCGATAGATCGATAGATCGATAGATAGATCGATAGATAGATAGATAGAGGGAGAAATAGATGGATAGATGGATAGATGGATAGATGGATAGATGGATAGATGGATAGATGGATAGATGGATAGATGGGTAGATGGATAGATGGATAGATGGATAGATGGATAGATGGATAGATAGATAGATAGATAGATAGATATAGATAGATAGATAGATAGATATGATAGATAGATAGACAGGTAGACAAGAGTGAGAGAGATCAATCGCCTTTCAGTCCAGCAGTCGCTTCGCTCTGCCATCTCTGATTCACAACAACCAATCTCTCCTATAGGTTTCCTATTTTTGAAACTTCCGCCACCGCCTTGTGCGGTACTACTGGTATATCATGTACGATTTTTGAGACTACTGCAACGCAGTCCGTCGCAACGTTCTTGCTACGACATTGTTCATCGCGGTTGTTAGGGTGAACGAAACAAAGTTCTTGAGCAATCTGACATTGTCGAGTTTCAGTGCGGGTCTTGACTTCGGTTGGGGTGAGGATGTATGTAAACGTGGTGGATGAAAGTGCATGTGCGGCTGTTGGCGTTTCCTTGTAGTCCGCCTATGTTGCAAACCCGGCTTTAGAGGCGGACCTGGGGGGAATCGAAGGGTGGGGGGGGGGCCCCCCCCCCTTGAAAGGCGGACCGAGACATAACCGGCCCAAACTCTTGCACTTGCACCGCTCGCCCCCTAATACTTGCTACGCAAGGGGGAACTCAGGTAGCTCACCGCTACCTTTCGAGACTTAAGAAATCCCCACATCTGAAATTCTTAACTTCACCACCGGCGCCTTTTCTGCTTCAGTGGCCCGCTGTTCAGCGTCTAGCTGCAGAGTATTCGCCTCGCGCACCGTAGAGGGGATGGGTCAAAATCACAATACCAAAATGGCTGATTAGAAGTTTTGTTCATCCCCCCAAATATATGTGTGCATATAATATTATATAATACGTTCGGATGCCCTTTCTCTATATGTTTTGCTTGTTTAATTGCATCGATCCCTTGAAGGGCAGTGACTCTGGATGACACTGATTCCGCCGCAAGCCGCGCCCATGCCTCCTTTTGCTTTGCCTCTGCACATGTGCAAAGTTCCTGCATCAAAGGAATCACCCAGACAGCCAGTCTGACAATGACACTAAGGATCACTAAGGTCAACAACATCGGCAGGGAAAACAGCCAACAAAAATAGAACCATTCATTGGAAACTGTGGGGTGGTTCAAAAACATCCTAAGAATATTCCAATCATTTTTGGGTTGCTATCCCAACTTCAACCACAAAACCGCTCCAGGCATTCTTGCAACTCCAGAAGTTCAAAAATCAAAGAGGCAGCAAGGTTTGGCCAGCTACAACCGTCTAAAAAAACATAAAAATAAATAAATAAATAAATATGAATTATATATATATGTGTGTGCGTGCGCGTGTCTCCATCGCCATTATATATATAAATATATAATGTGTGTGTGATTTCCCTTATTTGTCTGCACCATCCCCGCACTTGTTCTTCTTCCGTCCTCAGCAACCTTGAGCTCCTGAGCTCATGCCCATAGGTTTTTACCCTGTTACCATGGTTGGCAAGGATCCATTGACCACATGAGTGGACATTTTTGAAGTTTTACATGGGTTTATCGTATATGGGCTGGCCATAAATGGCTATACTAAACACCATCCCATTCTGCGGTCAAAACAATTATCAGCCGTAGGACCGATCTATATAAGTTTAAAAAAGTTCTGGAAAGGCAGGGGTTTGTCGTCGGTTCATCTTGGTTCGTCTTCTCATGTCCCCTTCATTTCTTGGGAGGGGAGGTCTCAACCCTTTGGCACCGCACTCATCCGCACTCCTGCTGCAAAGTCTGAACTTGGCATTTGGTTTCTTCCTTTGAGGCGATTGCAGCAGCTGCAGCCTGCCCAAGATATCCACGATGCAGGGCACGATGGGATGAAGCATGAAGTGATGGTAACCCACAAGAAATTGTGTTTCAGCTTGCAAAAAAAATCGAAACAACCAAAAGTTCAAAACAATTTCAATCACCCTTTCGGGAAACTCCTGGGAAGTTTGATCATATTTGATGATGCACACAGATCATAATAAAAGAATATCATGCTCAAACATCATCATCAAAAGTGAACGATAATTACATATCATAATTAGTATAATAATTAGTAAAACTAACTAACAAACTGAATAAATAAATTATATATATATAATAATTATCACAACCAAATATTATCATCAAATCATAATCACATATATCCGAACATACTGATGATGGTTGTGAAATCCTGCGCCAGTTGGAAACTCTTGGGCAACATATAGTTCAAGACTGCAAATCATGCATTGGCGCAGGATTTCGTAACCATCCGCAGTATGGACTATCTAGAATAAATGTTTTGTTATCTTTGAAGTGATCAAAAATGATGTTCTATGTCCAAGACGATAGGCAGCAAACAACTGTTCTTTTTCTAGATCTAACAACAACATAACACTTTCTCCGCAGAAAGACATCCCGGATTGTCATCTTCTTTCTGCCCAGAGGACTCACCAATTGACCCTGAAGTTGAATTACGATCACAAATCACAGGCGAAGGTTGAATATAGACTGAGATAATTTTCTTTTTATACTCATTATCCTATCATCAAATCCTACTATCATCACATATCAATAAAACATAAAATGGCCTAAATATCATTATCATTCAGGATCAATATTATGTATTCAAGTATCACAGGAATAGATGAAACATCAGGGTAATGATGGTAGTCATGAAAATATCAAAATGCATTCATCTATTCATCATCCTCATCATCATACATCATCCTCACTATCTATTCAAAATATCATTTCATAAACAAAACATATATAGATCAAATAATTTCCAAGTATCTAACCATCAGTATCACCATTATCTATCATTTATCTATTCATCTGTTCATCTATATTCATTAATTATCATCATTACTACTATATTGCAGTATCATGGCTCACCAGTATCATAATTACTGTTCATATCACTACTATTATATATGTTATCATCATGGCCGCATATCAACAAGCCATACATTATAGATGATGGACCCATACTATTGCATATCGTTACTATGATCATAAGCCATAATGACAATGGCCCCAAATATAGGAACGATATAGGAATGATTCTTTCCCCAGGACTGATATACTATATACCATCATATTATTACATATCATTACTATTGTATTAAAGAATATCACAGATGATGGCCCCACATATAAAAGCCAGTTTATATAAGAATGATTTCCCCAGAAAATAATGATAGTATATATATATAATATAAATATATATATATATAATAACGGCTATTCTTTCCCCATCGCCTCCCATCCCCGGGTTCCTCCTGGGCGTTCCGTGCATCCTCCTCCGCCTTGGCCGCCGCGCTGCGCAGCTCGGTGTTGAGCTGCCCGGTCCTCCCGGGGACGAGCGCTAGGGTCCCTTGGGCACACGCATGGAGGTAGCAACAGAAAAACCGGATGAAAACCACGTGAAAAAACCCTATGAAAACTGCATGAAACCAATGACAGCCATAGAAAAACACAATGAAACCATAGAAAACCAAGTATCTTATGGGGATCTGTTGGGGGGATTATGGAATTTAAGGATGTTTAAGGGGGAAATTGGAGTACAAACCCAATATTGTGCGATATATTGGGATATGATGGTAGGCAACGGGATAAGTAGCGTTTGGGGATACCCCAAAATGGCAAGTTTTCATGGGGAACATGCTCACACAATGTGGTACAATCCTCATGAATGAAACATCATCAACGGCAACCTCCTGAACGATTGATCCACAACAAGAATCGGAGAAAACATCTCCCAGCGAAAACACAATCTTACGAATCGTGGGAGGAGATTAACTTCCAAACAAGGTTAACCAACAAGTCCTCTAGATGAATCCACCGAACCGTTCTAAAACCAAAATCTCATTCTTCTCCCTGTCCCAAGGATGTTACACGATGTTACAGTGGTCCATAGAAACACCTTCTCCCAACCCACTTGAACTCATCCAGTTCCATCATCTCTCCCTTCCACCGCGATCCATGGCAGTCCCATGGCGGTCCTTTGCAGTGCAGCAGTTTGAACCTCCAGCTGCGCAAAGCTGCTGCGCTGTGCCTTCTGCGCTTCCTCCAACTCCTTCCGCAGCTGCGAGGCCTCACGTTGGTTCCAATGGGACCACTGGGTCTGGAAGAGCCTGGGAAGGCTGGGGGATGAGGCTCTCTTAAGTTGCAATGTTTTTTTCCCAAAAGCATCTCCGATGCTTGGGTTCGTTTAGTTTAAACTTTGCCGCGGGGGAGCGGCACTTCAGCGACGATACGCTGGACGGACGGGAAACCGTGGAAAATAGCTTGAGGAGAGCTCCTATGGGAGGGAGCGAGGCGGAAGCATACGGGAAACCGTGAGAAATAGCTTGGGGAGAGCTCCGTTGGGAGGGACGGAAACGACGACACGGTGGACGGACGGAAACCGTGGGAAATAGCTCGGAGCGAGCTCCGTTCAGAGGGAGCGACACGGAAGCGTGATGGTGGACGGACGGGAACCCATGGGAAATAGCTTGGGGAGAGCTCCATTGGAGGGACGAGACAGAAGCGTAGCTCCGTTGGGAGGGAGCGTGATGGAAGCGTGGACATGGTGGACGGACGGGAAACGGTGAGAAATATAGTTCGCAGGCCATCCGCCCTTCACTGCCATGGTGCTTCAGTGTCCGTTCAATCATTTTGGAGCTTTTGGATTCAGAAAGCGAAGTTAGGCACGACCAGCTGCAGGCCGCAGGTGCCATCCGTCCTTCACTGCCATGGTGTTTCAGTGTGGCGAAGGGTCCATGTTGGAAGTCTGGGAAATAATTTTGGATCTAGTTCCTTATGGATTCAGAAAGCAACGTTAAGCGCGACCAGCTGATGGTGTTTCAGTGTGGCGAGGGGGTCCCTTTTGGAAGCCTGTGCAATCATTTTGGAGCTAAGTTTCTTGTCACTTCAGAAAGCGACGTTAGGCACGACTAGCTGCAGGCCGTAGGTGCAACAGCAACAAAATAATCCATCCCCAGCCTCTGGGGTGGGCGGCGGGGGGCAGGAAGCCCCTTAATAAAAGTTAGAGAAGTTTAGGAATTGCACATCGGTTCATTGTGCAAAGACCGACATGGTACTGAGTTGCCCCCCCTGTTGCCATCAGTACGCCCCCGCCCTCCAACCTCCTGCGACATTGCGACTTGCACTTCGGCCAGTCTTGCCTGAGGGTGACTTCCAACTTAAGGGTAAAAGCATCTTCCAAGGCAATTTGTTTATCTTTTTGGGCACTTCTGTCCCATAGAGTTCTGGCCTTTTACCAATTATAATTCATTATATAAGTCAGCTTCAACGCCATGTATGAAACAAAAGGAAACAAAAGGCACATTTACAATTTATGACGATTTATAACCATTTCTTTATTATCGTCGAAAAACATTTCGAACTGGTAAAGGGCCTTATAACTGCAGGTTTCAATGTGCCCATCAGCGCCTCCGCTTCGGACTTCATCTTTGCAACCAGCTCCTTCGGCCGGAGCATCTAACGGAACACTACGGAAAGCCAGCCCTAAAGACGAGCCAAAAGTTCGACTCCAGGAACAATATCAAGACACCCAGCCAATTTTATTTCATAGGCGTGGAAAATGAATGCATTCCTGAAAATGAACTAATGGAATGGAACAAACCTTTCTTTTTGACCCATTTTCTGGGTTGCAATTTGTGATTTCTGGGGGTTAGTCATGCCAACTCGTGCAGGACTCACAGGCAATGGCACCTTCTGCTGCAGTTGGCTTTGCTTCAAGTGATGCTTCAGAACAGCCTGAGGGTCAGAGCTGGCCATGTCGCATCAAAGGCAGGTGTATTATGGCATTCCACCTTTCTTTTGGATGATTGACAATTTGATGCACCAAAAAACCAACCATCATTCCCCACTGTCTGCTAACTCTTTTGGGGCGGCCAGAATGATACAGTGAAACTTACTCCCCTTTTTTACTGAACTTTTCAATGCAAGACATGATACACGTCTCACACTTCCACCATCTTCCGCTCTGCCACGCCACGTTCTTGGTGCGCCAATGGCGACGATCCTTTCGCTCCTCGGCATCCAACTTGGCAATGGCTTGCAGCAGCTCCTGCCATGGACAAGACGTGGTCTTGGTGCATGATTCACCGGCTGCAATACTACACATTTCCCATCCCAAGATATCCCAAAATTACAACTTATCTGACCTACAAGCGGCAGGGTCAAGTCATAGCATCTCGTCTTAAGTCATTGCCGGGGTCCTGTTTCTGCATGTGTACGCTGCAAATGGTTTAAGTCACGGCCGCTCGTTTTAAGTCATAGCCGCATGATGCCTTTCTCCATGTGTACGCGGCTTCGACCGAGGCTCATATTATACTGTTTTTGATCAGTTCAGCATGGAAATCCTATTCATGGCATATGGTTTGGGTATGTGTTCCTCATGTAACTCACCATGTAACCGCTTGATAAGTAGGGGATAGTAGGGGTATGGTTGTACTCTTTGAAATCTACCAAGCAAACCCAAAACCCTTGAAACCGCAGGACATTGGAAAAAGACGAACTTTTCCGGAAAAAGTCGAACTTTTGGTTTTCTGGAATTTCAACAAATTATGAGAATCATACATATACCATTGCAGCCATGGAAATCCTGGATGGAGACTATATGGTACATACAGTTCTGCATGATTTGTGCATGTGCTAGCGTACATTATAGTACAAAGAAATTGATATATCTATATAAGTTATACTGTATATATACAATATATAGATATAGACATATACTTCACAAACGATGTATATATACATGCTTCCTATCAAATTATACACGTGCATGTCACACAAGATTTAAAAATGTTGATTGCAATGGCAGATTGCAAAACTATAAAATAGTTGGGATTATATGTAAGGGACCACACATGAACTTGAAAAATTCATCTATGTAGGTGGATCGGTGGATCAGCTTTAACTCACATCCATCCTATATAAGACATGCATTATAAAGCATGTATCGAATTGTCTTCTAGCATTGGGCCCTGGCTCTGTTTGCAAAGTGAAGGAAATGATTATGCATACAGTCCATCAATATAAGGTAATGGACCACCAAAATTCAATCTTGAACAATCAAAATCATGCTTTTCATGGGATATTGCCAAAAGTCGAACTTTTGGCAAAAAGTTGAACTTTTCCCATGTTGATGCCAATAGACGAACTTTCCAGCTTTGTACTGCAAATTCATGGACTTGGGGCTCCATAGGTATAAACGCAATCAAAATCAAATCGTTTTTGTAGGGTTGAAAGCGCTCCGGAAACTTTCAAACATATTGGAGACGCTATCCCCAGGATGCTTCAGCCCCCTGTGTCCACCAAAGACTTTCGTTCTCCATTTGCATGGTTTTTGATACGATTTTCGTTCACCCGATGCCTGCGCCCGGCATGGGAACACATGATTCATGCATGCTTTGGTAACACAACCCAATGGCCCAACGATTCTAGAAAGAAAGTAGAACTGATCCCCTACGTAGGTTTTTGTCACAAGTTCCGAACGACGTCAAAAGGAGGTCAAAACAAGCTACCAAACGAGGTCAGAAACTAGCCTTGGAAACCCCTGCTCCCAAAAGCAATGCAAAATACAGAGCCAGAACCTAGCTGTGGCTTTTATCTGCTTCTTCGTGCTTCTACGTATATTCGGAAAGCTGAGCCACATCAATATCATCAATGAACCTTTCAGTTTGATGAATCGCACAATTCGCCTGTGGGGAAGCCGATCTAGCAACAGTCTAGCAGCAGTCCAGCGGCGGTTTAGTAGCAGTCTAGCAGCTACCGAGCAGAAGTGGGGCAGCAGCCTAGGCCTTAGGAGAAGCATGCTAGCAGCAGTTTGTTAGAAATCTGCCAAGCACTCTTTGAGCAGTAGTTGCAGCAGTTTACCAGCGGCCTGGTAGCATTCTAGAAACAATCTGTAGCAGCAATCTAGAAGCAGTCCGGCAGCAGCCGGGCAGCAGTGTGCACGCTGGCCATTGTGACACCTAGCAAACATTTAGCAGCACTTCAGTGGCAGCTTAGCACCAGCCCAGCAACAGTCTATCTAGCAGCACGTCAGCAGCAATTTTGCAGCAGCGTAATGAAATCGACCAGCAATCTGTCAGCAGTTTGGAGCAGTCCAGCCTGCAGCGATCCAGTAGCAAACGACTTCTGAAAACAGCCGAGTAGCACTCGCTCAGCAGCACCCCAGCAGCAGTCTAGCAACAATGTCGCACCAATTCTAACTTTCTAAAATGCATTACCGAACAATATACGGAAGAAAAGCACCGCAAGGCACACGCTCACCCAAGACCAAAATATCAGAATCGGTTCAACATATACTATCATAAGATCAAGCTTTTGAACATGCAGTTCTTCAAGGCACACGCTGGTCCGCTATGATAAAACTGCAATGCTACGACTTTACCCCGGGACCCAGTAGGTTGACAATGCAACAAATCCATCCTATTTTTTTGGAAGCTCTCCATGCAAAAATATATGGGTTCCTAGCCCGCAAATCTCCACAGGGCCACCAAAATAGGGCACATGAACTGGTGCCCAAATAGGCTACTGGGCACCGTCCTGCTTTGAGTCTTCCAGCAAGGTCGCCTGCTTCAGGCGGAACCAGGGCGGAACTGTTTGTGACATTGCAAAGCCCGACATATCAATCCATGAAATACTGGCTGGTAAGTAGGGAATCCGATAATGGCATGAATGGGTGAATATAACGCCTACATAAATTGTAGTATAATTAACCTACAATCATCAACCACAGGGGTTCGTAATCTCCAAACAAAACATCACGCAACTATTGGCAATCTGGGGATATAACATGATATCACATGTGATATCATCTCCAACAAATACCTGTGATTTTCAAAGGTTGCCGGAAAGCATCGAAAAGCGCTGCCTCCTCCCTCAGCTGTGTGCTGCGAACTTCTTCCCGCCCCAAGGCGCTGCGGATCTCCTCCAAATCCTGCGAGACTGATGGAGCCATGTGGGTGGCATGACCCCAAAAACCCGAGGAATTCTGGGATTTTTCCATAGGAATTCCATGTTTCTTCAAATTTCTATAGGTTTCTATAGGTGTTCTATAGACTTTCTATGCTCTTGATTTTTGATGGCAAAATTTTGGAATCAATGATTTTTGCATGGATGTGTTCATCCGTCTTCATTTTTACAGGCAGTATTGAGGTATACAGATACATGATACTCTCATGTGTGCGTGTCTTTCTTTAAACATGCCATAGTGTTCAGGTAAATACACAAATATATATATATATATCATTATGTCATTATGATGATGATGATGATGATGATTATTGTTATTATTTTATATATAATTAATTCATCCTCTACAGCTGAGTGCTTGCATGCTTGCGGGCGTATGACATACCGTGTGATTGTCTTCATTCGGTCAATGGTCATGCATTCAGAAGCGAAATACTAAGCTTCTTTTGGGGGGCTGCAATTGACAGCACGCGTATTGGCCCAGTTGTTCCATAAATTGAAACTAGACCTGGGCTTTATCTCAACGATCTATTAACCTCAATCATTCAGCTCTAAAATGAAGTGAAGCATGTCAAGTTGGGACTCCGACTCCAAACCAGGCCAAACATGAGCAACAGAAACAACCTGAAAAACGTGAGGGACCATATCTTTGGCAATGATTTTACATTACATTACTGTACACTATTATTATTATGATTAATTATTAATTATTATATAGTTTCATATAGTTGACATATAATTTCCCCAGAGTGCAAGAAACGATTAGAACTCCTGAGTAAGAAGAAAGCGGTTCCAAAGCCCAACATAGCAACACCTAGCTACCAACACACACCCACCCCCAGCTCTATCATTGAATCATGCCCTGCCCCCCAGCCTTCTGCAGTCGTGACTTTTCATCACGATGATCCTTCTGCAAGATCTCAAGCCGTTCCTGCCCCGTGTGAAGCAGCTGTGGACGTGGTGCAGGGCACACTTTTCAACCAGTTCAAGGGAAAAATCGTAGGATAACATGGATAACCCACAATACAACCCATTCCATTCCCACCACACCAATTCCAGAGCCTCAGCTGCCTCCCGTTCTTCTTCCAACACCCGGCTGGTGTTGGCCTTCAAACGCAAGGCCTAGGGGCCGTGTGTTTCGAAGCCATGCCAAACATGCTGTCCCTAGTTGCTGCGAATGATTAAACACATGTGTCACTGGGTCATGAACTGGTCGATCATGGAATGATCATGGTAGCGGTTTTACTATGATTTGCACAAGCTTCACACATCATTATAACAACCAACAGCCATAGCCATCCGCTCAGTGACCTACCTGAAGCTTCACCCGAATCTTCAAGCGCTGCTCAAGGGAACTGAGTTTTTTCACCTACCAGCTGCAGGAATCTCGACCCTGGCATCTTCAACAACTGGTGCTTTCCAGTACCCAAGGATTTTGTGTCACTTCTTTGGCTTCACGGTTTCATCCAAAAGCACGGGAAAACCAGAACCCCCCAAGGGTTTGCGTCTCAGGCTGCACCCGGCTGCACCTTCTTCTCGGATTCCAAGCGTTTTCCTTCCACCTCTGCCACTGCCAGTTGCGCAGACATGTCCTCAGCTGTCCACCGAGATTGGCCACACTGAAAAAATTGTATCATATCAATTTGATATGAAGAATGTTCGAAGGAAGTTTAGAAGAAGTCAAAATGTACAAAGCACACCAGGTTCGGACCACTTTTGGAAGTTGAGATGTTGAAAAAGTGCACACTGTTGTGGCGCAAAGCACATTTCCAAGTCAAAAGTGCAAAAAACTGACGGGTACGGAGCACTTTTGGACGTTCAGACGTGCTTTCGCGTGGCTGGCATCAATTTTTCGTGGCAGGCGCAGTACTTTAGACAGGTGGAGTGGAAAAATTGCAAAACGCATTGGTACGAGGCTGTCAGCTCTGCACTCAACTTTCCATTTTTGAAGGAAGTCTCGCAGAATTCATTTGTTTTTGATGTTGTTAAATACAAAAATTGAAGAAGTCTCGCAGAATTGCTTCGTTTTGGATGTTGTCCAGTTCAAAAAATGAAGAAGTGTCGCAGAATTGCTTTCGTTTTTGATGTTGTCAACCTCGAAAAATGAGGAGTAAGTCACGCAGAAATTGCTGCGTTTTTTGATGTTGTCAAGTCTGAAAAATGGGGAAGTCACGCAGAATTGCAGCGTTTTTTTTGTTGTTAATGTTGTCAACTTTGAAAAATGAGGAAGTCACGCAAAATTGCTGCGTTGTTTTTTCCCGAATGCGTAGCAAGGGTTCCCGTTTCACTCTGGGGGTCTGGGGGTTGAGGGTGTGTTCGCTCGACGTTGCCTTCACGGTCGCAACCGTCCGCAACCGTCCGCAACCGTTCGTGTGAGGACCGTATGGCCGTGCCTATGGGAAGTTCTGCAGGAGGGATCATTTTTGGAGGTTTCAGACGTCTGGTTGCTTCGTTTCGCGTGGCAGGCGTGGCACTTCGTGACATTCAGCAACGTTCTGTAACGTGTCGAAAGTCGTTTTGTGTGGCAGGTGCAATACTTTTGCGACGTTTTGCGAAGATGCGTGGCAGATTTCGTGCCAGGCGCAGCACTTTCGACGTGTCCATCGTCATTTTTCGTGGCAGGCGCAGCACTTTAGACGTGTCGTGTTGCGTGTTTTTTGTAAATCGCATTGGCAGGGCTGCGTCAAGTGGCGACAAGGTGCAAATTCCGTGGCAGTCATGGCATTTTGTGCGATGTGCTGAAAATTGACGGAAGCCTCGCACGAAACATCGATTTTGAGGTTGCCAATTTTCATGTTCTAAGGAAAACTCGTAGGAAAACGTCGATTTTGAAGCTGCAAAGTGTCAAAATTGGAGGAAGTCTCGCACGAAATGCTCGTTTTGGCGCTCCCACGTGTCTCGTCTCGCGTCTCTGGTTTTCCGGTGGCCTCGCCGTGTCTATGGGGGAAGCTGGAAAACATGTTCTGGCGGCATGTTTCAAACTATGAAAATTGGAGGAAGTCTCGTACGAAATGCTCGTTTTTCTGCATCCACGTGTCTTGTCTGTGTGTCTCGTTTTCCTGTGGCGTCGTTGTGTCTATGTGGGAAGCCGCAAAACCTCTCTCCTTTTCAAAGGTTTCCACGCAGGTTGTCATGTCGTTTTGCGTGGCAGGCGTGGCACTTTGTGACATTCCAACCTGTTTAATAACATGTCGAACATGTAAAAATTGGAGGAAGTCTCGTACAAAATGCTGATTTTTCTGTATCCACATATCTTGTCTCGAGTCTCTGGTTTTCCTGTGTCGTCGCCGTGTCTATGGGGCAAGCTGCAAAACATCTCTTTTTGAAGGTTTCCAAGCAGGTTGTCGTGTCGTTTTGCGTGGCAGGCGTGGCACTTCGTGACATTCCAACCTGTTTGCTAACGTGTCGAAAATGTCAAAATTGGAGGAAGTCTCGCCCGAAATGCTCGTTTTTCCTGCACCCACGTGTCTCGTCTCGAGTCTCTGGTTTTCCTGTGGCGTCGCCGTGTCTATGGGGGAAGCTCCGCACTCCACACTCTACATTTTACACTCCACACTCCACAATTTACAATATAAACTCCACACTTTACACTTTGCACTTTACACTCCTGACTCCTCACTCGAGACTTTACACTCCACACTCCACACTTTACACTCCACACTCCTCACTCTACACTTTGCACTCTACACTTTACACTCTACACTTTACACTCTACACTTTACACTCTACACTCCACACTTGACATTTTACACTCCAGACTTTACACTTTACACTCCTCACTCCACCCTTTACACTCCACACTCCACACTTTACACTCCACACTCCTCACTCTACACTTTACACTCTACACTTTACACTCTACACTTTACACTCTACACTTTACACTCTACACTCCGCACTTGACATTTTACACTCTAGACTTTACACTTTACACTCCTCACTCCACACTTTACACTCCACACTCCTCACTTTACACCCCACACTCCTCACTTTACACTCCACACTCCACACTTCTCACTTTACACTCCGCACTCCACACTCAACACTTTCCACTCCACACTCCACACTCCACACTTTACACTCCGCATTCCCCACTCCACAATTTACACATTATACTCCTGACTCCTGACTCCACACTCCACACTCTACACTCCACACTCCACACTTTACACTCCACACTCCACACTCTACACTTTACACTCTACACTCTACACTCTACACTCCACACTTTACAGCTTAAATTCCACACTTTACACTTTACACTCCTCACTCCTCACTCCACACTCCACACTTTACACTCCACACTCCACACTCTACACTTTACACTCTACACTTTACACTCTACACTCCACACTTTACACTTTACACACTCCACACTCCACACTCCACACTTTACACTCCACACTCCACACTCCTCACTTTACACTCCACACTCCACACTTTACACTTTACACTCCGCACTCCTCACTCCTCACTTTACACTCCACACTCCACACTCTACACTTTCCACCCCACACTCCGCACTCTACACTTTACACTCCACACTCCACACTCCTCACTTTACACTCCACACTCCACACTCTACACTTTCCACCCCACACTCCACACTCTACACTTTACACTCCACACTCCGCACTTTACACTCCACACTCTACACTTTACACTTTACACTCCAAACTCTACACTTTACACTCTACGGCGCTTTACACTCTACACTCCACACCCTGCACTCTACAATTTACAAAATCCACACTCCTCACTCTACACTTTACACTCCACACTCCACACTCCTCACTTTACACTCCACACTCTACACTTTCCACTTTCCACTCCACACTCCACACTTTACACTCCACACTCCACACTCTACACTTTACACTCTACACTTTCCACCCACACTCCACACTCTACACTTTACACTCCACACTCCACACTTTACACTCCAAACTCTACACTTTACACTCCACACTCTACACTCCACACTCCACACTGCAGACTGGTAACAGGGGAAATATGTACAAGCCTGTTCAACTAAACTATTGCAGAAAAGTGTTCTGCGTGATTGCAAATCCATGTGTTTTGACATCTGTACCATTAACATACGTGTTAGCATTCGGGTTCGTGGGCTGCATCTTGTTTTCCCGAATGCGTAGCAAGGGTTCCCGTTTCACTCTGGGGGTCTGGGGGTTGAGAGTGTGTTCGCTCGACGTTGCGTCCGCGTCCGCAACCGTCCGCAACCGTCCGCAACCGTCCGCAACCGTTCGCAACCGTCCGCGCGAGGACCGTATGGCCGTGCCTATGGGAAGTTCTGCAGAGGTGGTAATTTTTGGAGGTTTCAGACGTGTCGTTGCTTCGTTTCGCGTGGCAGGCGTGGCACTTCGTGACATTCAGACGTGTTCTGGAACGTGTCGAAAGTCGTTTTGCGTGGCAGGCGCAATACTTTTGCGACGTTTTCAGAAGATGTGTTGAAGTTTTCGTGGCAGGCGCAGCACTTTGGACGTGTCCATCGTCATTTTTCGTGGCAGGCGCAGCACTTTAGACGTGTCGTGTTGCGTGTTTTTTGCAAATCGCATTGGCAGGGCTGCGTCAAGTGGCGACAAGGTGCAAATTCCGTGGCAGGCGTGGCATTTTGTGCGATGCGTTGAAAAATGACGGAAGCCTCGCACGAAACATCGATTTTGAGGTTGCCAATTTTCACGTTCTAAGGAAAACTCGTAGGAAAACGTCGATTTTGAAGCTGCAAAGTGTCAAAATTGGAGGAAGTCTCGCACGAAATGCTCGTTTTGGCGCTCCCACGTGTCTCGTCTCGCGTCTCTGGTTTTCCGGTGGCCTCGCCGTGTCTATGGGGGAAGCTGGAAAACATGTTCTTGCGGCATGTTTCAAACTATGAAAATTGGAGGAAGTCTCGTACGAAATGCTCGTTTTTCTGCATCCACGTGTCTTGTCTCGAGTCTCTGGTTTTCCTGTGGCTTCGCCGTGTCTATGGGGGAAGCCGCAAAACCTCTCCTTTTCGAAGGTTTCCAAGCAGCTTGTCATGTCGTTTTGCGTGGCAGGCGTGGCACTTTGTGACATTCCAACGTGTTTGATAACGTGTCGGAAATGTCAAAATTGGAGGAAGTCTCGTACGAAATGCTCGTTTTTCTGCATCCACGTGTCTTGTCTGTGTGTCTCGTTTTCCTGTGGCGTCGTTGTGTCTATGGGGGAAGCGGCAAAACATCTCCTTTTCGAATGTTTCCATGCAGGTTGTCATGTCGTTTTGCATGGCAGGCGTGGCACTTTGTGACATTCCAACCTGTTTGATAACGCGACGAAAATGTTAAAATTGGATGAAGTCTCGCATGAAATGTTCGTTTTTCTGCACTTACGAATCTCGTTTCGAGTCTCTGGTTTTCCTGTGGCGTCGCCGTGTCTATGGGGGAAATTGCAAAATGTCTCCTTTGCCAAGGTTTCAAATTTTGAATATACTAGATTGTTGGTTCAGTGAGGCTTGCGGTTTGTAAATATATGGCAAGAGTGCGATTATGTTGAAGGTGGAAAGTTGCCGTGTGGACTCATCCAGATTTCACACAGTGTTGTTTATATATTTTTGGTTCTGTGTCGGCAAACATTTCGGCTGGGCTCAATAGCAAGAGAACGTTAAGCAGTCACAGTTCATGAGGAATGTTGTTAGATCAAGGAAAATTTGCAAGATCTAGACATTTCGAATGATCGTGAGAGATATGCAAGCAAATGTCGCATGCACGGAAGTGGCGCTTATGCAGGCATGAAGGTTGATAGCGATGTTGTTGAAGATCTGTCTTTTTTTTAATATGGCGGGTCGCCGGTCCGCGCTGCAATGGCGTAAGCTTGCGCGCCAGAACTGCTTGCGAGGGCGTGCCGCGCGGTATGTTGCTGCTGCTGCGCTCTGGCTTGTCGCGGCTTGCGGCTGCTGCTTGGCGCTGCTGCTGCCGCTAACTATGCTGCTCGGTGTCCTTGCTGCGGTGCTGCTGCCGAGCTTTCTGCGCTGTGTGCAGCTGAGATATCTGCATGGTTTGCTGGGGCAAGAGGCGTTGCTTCTGGAGTTTGAGCATTGACATTTGCATCTCATATCATTATCGATACTTTAACATCGTTATCTTGGACATACGTGTGAGCATTCGGGTTCGTGGGCTTCATCTTGTTTTAATGTTGTCAACTTTGAAAAATGAAGAAGTCTCGCAGAATAGTTCGGTTTTCAAGGTTGCAGATAGACTGGTAGACAGGTAGATAGATTGACAGGTAGACAGACCGAGAGATAGATAGATAGCTAGCTAGCTAGCTAGATAGATAGATAGATCGATAGGTAGGTAGGTAGGTAGGTAGATAGGTAGATAGGTAGACAGGTAGATAGGTAGATAGATAGATACATAGTTAGATAGACAAATGAGATAGATAAAAAATTAGATTAGATTAGATTAGATATAGATTCGATTAGATTAGATTAGATTTAGATTTAGATTTAGATTTAGATTAGATTATAGATTAGATAGATTTACAAATGAGATAGATAAAAAATTAGATTAGATTAGATTAGATTATATAGATTCGATTAGATTAGATTAGATTAATTTAGATTTAGATTTAGATTTAGATTAGATTAAATTAGATAGATCGATAGATAGATAGATTAGATAGATAGTTAGATAGACAGATGAGAGAGAGAGAGAGACAGCTAGATAGATAGGTGATAGATAGATCGATCGATAGATAGATACATAGATAGATAAATAGATAGATAGAAAAATAGATAGAAAAATGGATCGACAGAACATACCCCCGCGTATATACATATGTGTTACCGTATATATATATGCGTGAATATATATATATATACACATGATATTACAGTATATACATACTATAATATCAATATGTTTTAAACAATGCATATAATGCATATACTGCATATACATGTAGGTAATTCTATGTAGATGTTGTACATAGTCTGTATAGGTTGGGCCAAGTGACCCAGCGCTGTTCTGCCTCCGCGAATCTCATCTCAGCCAACTCCCGGGCCTGGGAAATCCAACTTTTCAATGGATTGGTTCAAGGGAAATCGACGGGAAAACCATGGATTTTCCGGATTTTCCTATGTATGGGGGTTTCCCGCAGATTTTCCCTTAAACCAATCCATTGTTTTTCAAACATCACTATGATGAACATCATTTAATCAAAACAACTGGACTCCAGAGGATCCTAGATTTAAGGCGTCTCAAAACTGGAGATGTAAGCCGCAACAATGAGATTTCATATTTGAACCATGACAACCATGATATTTAATCAATGAATGGTAAATATGGGTCTGTCTGAAAATGGGGTATACCCCCAAGATGACAAGTTCAATAAATGTTATTTCGTCATGAAGCCTGCAAGACTGAGTCAGAATCATGAGAAACTGTTGTGTTTTTTCGTTTAAATATGTTAAATCCATTTAAATCCCCTGATTCTGATGTTGGTACTGGCCGCTCTCTAAACCCCAGGACAATGAATGGAACGAGATTTGGTCTGAAGTTCACTTCTGTGTATCATGTGTTGAATATTCTCATCATGCAACTCTACACCCGCGGCCTTGCAGGTGTAGACCCGGGAAATCACGCACGCTTTTTTCCCGGATGAATAAGCCGAGATAAACTTTATGGATATGTTTGATGAATTGGAGATAACCCCCAACAAAAATGACTTAAACTATTCAAGTGGCACACCTTATGAGCCACCCAAAGGCTTAATGCGTCAACAGCCCACGCCTCATTGGCTTCGTCGACATCCTCCGCAAAGCGGAGGGTGAACTCACCTGGGCCCCGATCGGTTGCAGCTCGTGACACTCAACGTTTCTGGCCCTGAAAAACAACAAGCCATAGATTACCATTGCAAGCTTAAGCAGCTTTCATGGCTTTGAGTTTCTGACCCAGTCCAGAGCCAGGAACGCAGCTTTTCCTGAGGGCATTTCACATTCCTCGCGCTCAGCAATTGTTCACCTCTCCCAAACTGTCGCCATCATAACATATCACCATCACCATCATCATCATCGAGGCCATCCTCACCTGCTGTCCAGCTTGAAACTCACAGACGGCCAGAGCTGGACCTCCCAGCTATTTGATGAACACTTTGATATTTCTTTGGAGTGATCCACCCAACCCAAAAATCAGAACACATATATATATATACATATATATATATATATATGATCGATCAAACATGGCTGAAACTACGTTTTCAAACTGCTTCATGAAAACTTTAATCGTCCCCTCAGTTTCAAGGCGGTGGCTGTTATTCCCGGCATCTCGGTGCAGGTCTTGGGCCAAGCATCAAGACCTTCTGAATGATCTTCAGCGACTCCTGCAATCTGGTGATCCATTGTGATAAATCTTGGAGAATTGTGGAATTATTGTGGTATAAATGTGGATAAAATGTGGTATAAATGTGGTATAATTACTGTGGTTCACCATACTTCAGAAACCTTCACCCATGGCTGGCAATTGTGGAATAATTGTGGTATACTTTGCAAAGAATGCATCCTTGAAACATGACACCGTACATCCACTATCTTAGTTGGAGCCCTGCTCTCCATGCAGGGCATACTTTTTGTCAGCTTTGGCAACTGTTCATGTTTCAAAATGTGTCACTGTGTCAAATGCACCCCACATCAAATACCACAATCTGTCAATGATCCCTGAAAAATCTGAAAAGGATTGGTACTAAATGGTATAGCCATTGGATAACTGGACCGGAGCTATAACATCCTATAACTCAAACCCCTCCAACCGCTCAACGTCCGTTGTTCCCGTCCTTGCTCACCATATCCGCATGACGTTGGATGAAGCCCCGCCACACGTCAGACTCGCGACGGATCAGGGAGGCAAGTTCGTCCTGCGGCAGTCATAGGATCAGGTTTAGGGATCCAGATGGATCCAGGATCTCAAGCCGTTCCGGTGCGACTTGGGTGAAAACAATGAGTTCCAAGTGGATACCCTGTTATGAGAGGATGCCAAGGCTGCAGGAATGAAACAGGCTACAGTACCTGCCAACTAATCCCATCCTCCAAATAATAACCCCTCTGTATGACAAATCCATCAAAATCCAGTACTTCATCAGAGTTCCAGGGGTGGCCGTTTACCAAACCAGTCCAAATATCATATTCTTAGCATTTCTTAGTGGAATGGAGAATTAAATGATATATAATTTTCTATATCTATATATATAGATGTGTATATCAAGAAACTGCAGTAACTGACATCATGATCCACGGCTTCGATTTGCTTCATGTAAAACAAACAGCACAGCGGATTCCCCTCGTTTCTGGTGGTTTGAGCCATGGGAAAACCAAAACCTATAAGCCCCACATGCATTCGACATCATTCTACACAATTTCTTCAAACTTTCAACAATGCTATAATACTCATGATCCTGGTAGTTTTTTCCCACCAACAAAAACTCCATTTGTCTCCAACATCATCCACTCAGCTCCAACAACGTCCCGTGGAAACCGTGGCGAGTTCGATGGCTCCTGCAGTTGTTCCTTGATCTCCGTCCAGCTGTAGCTGGAGACTTTCTCCAAGAGCTCCGGTTTTGAGAGCAATGGGGAGATCACCAAGAAGGCCCTTGGGTTGCGATCTGCCACCTTGACATGGCAAGATATGGCAAGAGGCCAGGAAAAAATCTGAAAAAATCACCATGAAATCACCATAGTGACCATTGGTGTCCAGGGATTCATTCGGATTCTAGGCCAGATTGAGCACTAAAGGGCAAGTCCAAATAAGAATATATAAGGGACTGGGGTATGGTTTCAACCACCATAATCTGTGATGCTCACAAACAAGAACGGGATGGTTTATAGTAATGAAATGACTGTACGTATATGACCATATATGCAAATACCAATGGTCGGAGACCTTACAGGGGATCAAAGCATCAAGGTGAGTTGTGCCAACTTTGCTGAGGGTATTGGCGCAACTGGTAGCAGGGCTGCTATCAACCTCTGGCTTATCATTGGCATGTGCGCAAACATGGATTCCAACATCCGCTGATACTGTTGCCCTTCGGAGCTTGGCTCAAGCAAGTTGTTGATGTCTTTGCAGCGCCACCCTTGCTGGCCACCGATTCGAGGAAACCAGGCCTTTTTTTGCCTTTTTTTGTTCCAATCAATGAAGTCTTTGTCCCATGACAGTGGGCTATGTACAACCTTCAGTCTATTGCAGCATTGTGCAACACGGCGCCTTAGGGCCGAAGCTCTATATGGCATTCAAGCTCACCAAAATGTGGCTCAAAGCACCACTCAGAATCCACATTTTCGGCCCCCAAAACGGCCTCGAACAGCAGCAAATCATCTCACTCGCCCAAAACCATCAACACCTTTCCAGGGAAAAATGGGTCATCAGGCTGCATCTTCCCACCAGGGGCAGCAGCTCCTCATCACCTCCTTCAACTCATAGGACCCCAGGCGCGCTGCGCGCGCGGTGCCGACTTCGGCTCCCGGGAGCTGTTCTAAGAGCTGCCGGAACCATTGCCTCAGTGGCCGTGCTGGTCACCATGCACCGAAACGACCACAACAAGAATCAGCTAGGAATATCATGGAATATCAACATTTGTCAAATTTCTAGATCATTCTACTGGGAAATTGTGTGTCTTTGCAAATAGTTCAAATGTCTAAGCTAGTTCAAGGCGGGGCATATCATGGCAAGGAGCTTTCAGAATGAACAATTGCAAATGAACAAATATTAAATAATATAAATAATATACAATTATATATACCTATTATAATGTTAATAAATATCAAATATTATCAAATATGTATACAGCTATGATGCCATACGATGCCATACGTTTGTCAGAAGCTGATCTAGACGGAAACATGGCGACTTGACACGGATGGCGATGGTTTCCTGTGTGCTGCTGTGCATTGCTGTGCGGTGCTGCCAAGATCTGCCAAGAGTCGGGTTCTCATCTCGCATTTGTTGGTGATAGCGGCCAATGCCTGGAAGGGATTGTTTCAATGATACACTGTGAATAACAGGCATTCATGCAGCGAAGCAGGGCATTGTTTGTTGGAAGTCAAGTTATACTCGTATGTTATCTTATTTTAACTTATTTTACGCATCCTCATACTGCAATATATAGCATAAAATTTCACAAGGAAAGCATCTTAGAGAATGTTTCAGCTTCATTCTCACCATTCTGCCATATTTTGTCCAATTTTCTTCAGGGCATCCCAGTGCCTTCAAGCATCTCCTGCTTCTGAGGACCTTCGTCATGTGAGCGGCATGCGGATTGCAGCTCGCAGTCTCGGAAAACGTAGCGCACCAGCAAAGGTCGGACCTCCTAAGGGCGATGCGGCAGATGGCCTTCATGACACTGGAAGATGTCAAACAAATGAACTGACCCCTGAATATACATGGCATAACTTCTAGTAGTCAACATCATTCTTTCAAGCATTCAAGTCTTGGATATCCAAATGTAACATAAAGACAACAAAGAGCTGGCCTGCCATATCATCCGTGGCACACCTTTAAGCACCCAACAGGACCCAACAGGACCTGTATTGCATGCAGCACTAGACAAGCCTACATATCTCTCCTGCCCTAACCCTTAAGCCACGTTGCCGGCAATAAAAGGCACCGCAGGGGTCGCGGAACTTGCAGCAGCTTCGACCGTGGCGTTTTTTCCAAGTGGGTCGCCTTTTCCTGGGGCTGGTGGAAGTGGGATCATCCCACGAATCATGAATGGTTCATGTTTCCACATTTATAAGCCACTCAGATATGTCGATATTCATGGCCATCATGGCCAGTGTAAAAAACATCACATAATTGTATATAATTATTATGATGTTGTAAAGCCATATAGCCATATAGCCTGTATAGCTAGTTACTTGCGATTAGGTTTGTGGGGACTTACTAACTCGGCTTATTGACCGCTTATTAAGTGGGATGATCCTGCAAGTAATCAGTGTGGTGCTACGGGGGAAACTCCCAGCTGTTTCTTTGTTGGTCATAAAGGAAGGAACATCATGACACACGCACCAGCTGTCAAGCAAAACACTGATCAGAATTAAACTTAACCTGGCAATGTTTGAAGGAACGAGTACGGTTTCCAACCCACTGTCTTTGTAGCATCCATAGGGAGAGAGAGAGAGAAGTCAACCAACCAGGCATTCCAAGTGTCGCACACAGAGCAAGCTTGGTTGAAGCAAGTCATGGACTCCAGATCCTCCATGAAATGACTGCTGGTGCTACTCTGCTCGACCTCAAGTGGTCTGGCTCATGAAAGGAGCTGCGGGCAGCCTGCCCAGCACCACAAAATGTGGCAAGTGACCCCAGCATATCATTGATGTACACACACACGACACACGTAGGTAGATAGATAAATAGATAGGTAGATAGAAAGACAGACAAACAAACAGAGAAACACATAGATTGTACGTACAAATAGGATGGATGGTAGGATGGATGGATGGATGGATGGATGGACGGACGGACGGACGGATGGATGGATGGATGGATGTTTTTTTTTGGATCAATCGACGATCGATGGATATCCAACTTATATGCATGTTTAATGTTTAATCATGTTTACATGTACGGTCAGTTCGGGTGTGAGGTGTCTTGGTCATATCACCAATGGTGTCATTCTATATATATATATATATATATTTATCTAAACTCAAGAGTGGTGAACGATTGACCCCTCCGAAAGCGAACGTGTGCGGTGAACGGTGCGCGAGTGCGGTGCGCGCGTGCGGTGCGCGCGTGCGGTGCGCGCGTGCGGTGCGCGATATATGCGCGCAGTAACGCATGCACTGCGCGATACACGCGCGCAATGATAGTCTTAACCCCCCGCTGGAACATATACACTGTATACACATCGGCTCTCGGCTTGTTAAAACCCCAGCACTCAATCTCAATGGTGAGTTTCACATTTCACAGATAAATTGGAACGGATGAGGCTCAGGTTTTAAGATATCCATGGAGGTTGGACATTCCAAGTTATCAATGTCTACAGATGGTTACGGGTTTTGAACATGTTTGTGAAGTGTTTGTGCTCTACAATCTGTGTGCAAGTGCGAATATGTTGTATCTATCAATAAAAAGTTGTAGGTTCGGGTAGCACCATAGATGAAGTTGCAACTTTGTTACGTATGATGTAAGGATTTGAAGAACCTAACGTATGTATCCTATCTATAGGCCATTCAAAACATGTGTGGCACAGCGCTTGGCACAACTGCTGTGCTGAAATTATCTAAAATTATCCAAATTCTACTACAAAACAAACATTTCTGTTATGACAATGATATTGCTGCAACCAAAGAACCCGAAAGGATTGAAGTTGCACGAAGCGATGGAAGAAAAAGGGCTTGTCCTAGCCGTTCTGAGCGCAGGAAGACTTTCAGTACATTGAAAATTTCCGTTGGCGCGCTATTGTTTGGAAAAAACAATAGGTCTTGTAAATGACAAGGGTCAGAAAAGTTTTGAGCTTTGAAGCCAGAAGTTCTCCGATATTTTCTCGAACCATGTTTGTAAAAAATGATAATTCTTGGGTTTCCTGACCTGGTCTGACTGATCATGTACATAATCATGCAAAATGAGAAGAAATTGAAAATTCATATTCCTGAAATTTGCTTCTGGTTTTTGAAAGACCTGACAGATGTATTCTTGAAAAGTGAAATTGTCGGAGCAGTTTCTGACTTGACTGAAAACTGCCACTTTCAAAACTGCTTTTTGAACACCACGAAGTTTACAAAAAAGAGCAAGGTCATAATAATTTCAATATTCTGAAGTTGTCTTTATTGTTTTTTCTCCTTTTCGATTTTTTCAATTAATATGAAGAAGAAATTCAGAAAACAGAAAACCTGTTTTCTTGGATTTTTTCGTAATTTATCTGAACTTTTTGTGTTTCGTTTTTTGGAAAGGTTGAAAAACCCGAAGCGTGATTCAAAGTTTGCCTTTCTCTTCTGCTTTGTTTCTGTTTTAAGCTGCTTCTGCAATGAAAGCAGGCAAAAGGCGGAAGCAAATCATTGTTCTAGTTTTTGTCCCTTTTTGCTGTAAAAATGTTGCCTTGTTTGAACATTCTAACAGGTTCAGGAAAAATCCACAAATCATTTTTTTGCTTGTGGATTCAGTATGTATGTCAGAACAAACAAGAAAAAGGTCAGCCCAGCCAATCAATTTTCCGAACTGTCTTGTTTTTCCTGATTTCTCCGACGTAATTGAAGTCAATATTCAGAACATTCAAAGCACAGGGAAATCGGAAAATGAGTTTTCAGATTTTTTTTTGCAACAATTGTTTAGTAAAGATTTCTGAGCCTTTTCTGGTATTTGTGCCAATTTCAGTTTGCAATCGCTTCCAATAATCCAAATTCAGAAGATGCTTTTAGAAAAAAGTTCAGGCATTGAGATCTCAGAACTGTCTTGAATCCTTTTGAAAATGTCGAATATTTTCGGAACATACACAAGCATATGCCCTTTTTGTATCAAAATTTGGAAAGCTGAACGCCTCCTCCAAATAATTACTGAACTTTCAATCAAAGAATTGATCTGCACAGGCTTCAGAAAATGTTCCACAAAGACCGGAATTCTTATTTTTTTCAAGCGCGCAGTTTGTTAAAATTATGTTTCCTTTAGCATTTTCTCAGCTATGGCCGTACTTTGCAATTTCTGACTTTGCAAAGGTTGAAAACATTGTCAAAAACATTGAAGAGCTAGTCGTGACAAGGTGTGTGTGTATATATACATATATAATTTAGTTAACATTTAGAGAAGGTGAAACGGAGCTAGCAAATGTCAAGGAAAAAACTTCCAAAAAGCTGTGTTTTGAAATCATGTTAGCTTCCCTAGAACTTCCAAAAATCAACGGTACTGCAAAAGTTCCAAAAATCAATACACACAGCCTCCACAGACAACATCACGGATGAAGGACCTTGCCAAGCTATGATTTTTGCAAATAACACTGTGGAAATGGTTACCTATGATGTTCCAAGGTTGGCACCTTGGTCAGACCGCTTTCATTCGCCTAATTGATCCTAATCAGCTTGGTAGCTAATCTACTGCCTCTAAGGGCAAGCACCTTGCAGATTGTGCCCTGCTTTGGAACTGAAAGAAAATATGGGTTTGTATGTTCAAGAAGAGTATGCAGCAGATACGAAATAATTTTGCTTTTTCACGACACGTCCGCGTGGCGCAGGTGAAGTCGAAAACCTGAAAATCCCACACCTTCCCGTTTGTTCTCACAAGTTGCAAGGAATAATGCGCAAAATACCAACAACTATCAAGCAAGACTCGAGACACCTTCACCAGGCTATGTTTCCCCTGAGCATAGCCCCTGCACGAATGAAGGTTTCGGAGCTGATGTTGAAACCCTGCAAAGCCAGAGTTTTGCTTGACTTTGAATGATTTCACCGCGATAGTAACTGCTTCTGAGTTTGCTATAGTAAGGCGCATCTTGGCTCAAACAGATCCTCACACAGCCGCAAATCTACACCATGCAAACCCAAAACCAGCTTCAAATAAAGGGGAACAGAACGACTGCAAGAACAACGGCAAAAGGACCGCGCTATGCTTTCCTGGGGGTTTTCGTGTCCCCACAGGTACTTCCTCCACGCCGGCTCGGCACAGACTCTGTGACATCGGGAAGCTGCACGAGAAGCTTCAAACAGTTTTCCAAAAAACTCGGGACATCTGCACGAGATCTCAAATCTGTACGGCGCGAGATGCTCGCAGCAAGCTCAAAGCAAATATCAATCTGCGCAATTAACTGCACGCAGTGGCACTGTGCGCGCGCACTGCGCGCACACACTGCCCGCACGCACTGCACGCGCACACTGCGCGCTCACACTGCGCGCCCGCACTGCGCGCGCAAAATTGCTTCCAAAATCCTGGATTTTGCTGACAAAACCTCTGATTTTGCTAACAAAACGCTCGATTTTGCCACCAAAATTTGCGAACGGTCAGGGCGTACGGTGCGTACGTGCGAGCGTACGGTGCGCGCGTGCGGTCAGCAGTGCCTGTATACGGCGGCGCAAATATAGTTTACTGGATTGAATAATATCTAATACATACCCCTGTAGATTACCCCCTGTCACCCAGTGGCCCCCATTTTGTGGGCTTAAAATGAAGCCGCTGGGTTATTCCTATCTACAAAATGAAATCCTATGACCCCAGCTATAACCCAGGCTGTCTACAAAATGTGAGCCTCCAGGGGACCCAGCAAAGATGGAATTTCACCAAAACTGCTCTACAAAATGAAGGCCCCTGCCCTCTCGCATGAATAAAGAACCATCCATATATCACCAAACTCTGGGATGTATATTTTGCGACCGCTGAGGGCTCTCATTTTAAGCACATCAACCCTTTCGATCCGTGATGTTGACCTCACTGGAAAGCTCTCATTTTGTAGAGTGGTACCTTAAAATTGCCTTCTTATGGGGTTCTCATTTTGTAGGGAAGTATCTCTTACCCCAGCTGGGAAAGGTCCTCATTTTGTACAGCAAAATCCTTTGAATGTCTTTGAACCTTTTTTTTCCGTTTGCAACGACCACGCTTCATCTGCGCTATGCCCCGTGGAAAGCGTGCTGGACAATCTAGACACCTTGGAAAAAAAGAGAAACAAATTCTGTCCGGTTTTGGCAGTGTGTCCGGATATTTCTCGTTTTTTTTTTGGTCAAAAGATGCTTTCCGTATCCTTTCGTCATGCAACGCTTTCCACCGGTTTCAAAGTGACCCTGCATACCCCAACAACTCAACTTAGCCACGGCTTTTGTTCAACCATTGTTCAACCTCTGCAACGACCACGCATGGTCTGCGCATTGTCTGCGCTATGCCCCGTGGAAAGCGTGCTGGACAATCTAAACACTTTGGAAAAATAGAAAAACAAATTCTGTCCGGTTTTGTCAGTGTGTCCGGATATTTCTCGTTTTTCTGGTCAAAAGATGTTGTCGGTATCCTTTCGTCATGCAACGCTTTCCACCGGTTTCAGAGTGACCCTGCATACCCCGACAACTAAACTTAGCCACGGCTTTCGTGCAACCTCTGCAACGACCACGCATGGTCTACGCTATGGCCCGTGGAAAGCGTGCTGGACAATCTAAACACTTTGCAAAAATAGAGAAACAAATTCTGTCCGGTTTTGTCAGTGTGCCCAGATATTTCTAGTTTTTTTTTGTCAAAAGATGCTGTCGGTATCCTTTCGTCACGCAAGGCTTTCCACCGGTTTGAGAGTGACCCTGCAGACCCCGACAACTCAACTTAGCCACTGCTTTCGTTCAACCTCTGCAACGACCACGCATGGTCTGCGCTATGCCCTGTGGAAAGCGTGCTGGACAATCTAGACACTTTGAAAAAATAGAGAAACAAATTCTCTCCGGTTTTGTCAGTGTGTCCGGATATTTCTCGTTTTTTGGTCACAAAATGTTTTCGGTATCCTTTCGTCATGCAGCGCTTTCCACCGGTTTGATAGTGGCACTGCATACCCCAACAACTAAACGTAGCCACGGCTTTCGTTCGCCAGCTTTCAGTGCTTTCATCACAACGTCAAAACGCCTGTGGACTGCGAGGCCCCAGACAGATGGCGAAGTGTACTTGCTGTACCTGAGCCAGGAAAGTTATAGGCATCCCAAAGATTCACCAGCGCCTTGAGATTTAGGAAAAGCCGGCATCAAAAACATCCCGGCGGAATTCCGCCGGACCCGGAACTGTGCTCGTAAAAACAGCGTTTTTTTAAACAAATGTCGTTTTCGCAACAGCGAAACGCACATTTGATTCACATTTGTACGAGCCAAATTTGGCGCTTCAGCGTTGATTTTTTTTTGCTGGAGCCGACTATGTAGATTCACATAACGCCATTGCCAGCACTTCACATACAGGAGAAGATCTTTGCTGTTTGAAGACAATGAATTGGGGATGAAGTCTTTGACAGCACTCCATGCAGCATCAATTGCTCCAGTATGGCAAATGATCTTCTCCAAACTCACCGAAGTAGCGTAGCAACAAAAAAGGCACGAATTTAGTAGCGAAAAGTAAACGTATAGAAACGGAATCTTAAAGACCCCCCACCACCCCACTCCAACCCCTTTGTGCATTACAACGTGAAACACTACAGAAATCTCACAGCGTATAGCACATATAAGGTACGGAAGTACCAAGATGTACAAGGAACGTTAACATGCCCCCACCCCACCCCACCCCACCCCTTCGTGTAGCAACATTACCACAAATATTTCCACAGATATTAGCAGCGCAGCAACGTATAACGCACGAAGTACAAAAAAATCGTGTATACACCGTAGCAACATTACCAGAGATCTCAGCAGCGTAGCAACATATAATTATAATGTACGACATGCCCCCTCCACCCCACCCCGTCATGACCTCCGAACACACGCTAACAAAAACGCGCGTTTTACGAGCACGTTTCCGGTCCGCTGGCAAAAACATCCTCAAAGCACTTTCGACCTCCATCATATTCTAGATGCAAACAGAGAAATCATATTAAATCTATCCGGAGGACTCGGCCACAAAGAAATCAGGAGATCTAGCCAGAAAATCCGGCCACTTGACCCCCTCACATTCAGCGGCTTTGACTCTGCAAACTCCCTCTGGGGTGAAGGATGGATTTTTCGGGAATGCTGCATCGTCAAGATCGTGCAATCGTGACATCATATTTCGGATCAGTGTTCTTCCCTTCTCATTTTTTCGGAAATTGCTGGGAACGCTTGGGATGACTTCAGGCCCAGCGCTGCTTGTGCTCTTAGTTGTCTTTTTCACGGTCAACTGCTTTGTCTTTGCTTTTTTCTTATTTTTTTTCTTGTCTTTCTTTTTGCCTTTCTTGGATTTGCTTTTCTTCTTCAGATTTTCTTTCTCAGCTTTTCCCTTGGCTTTTGGTTTGGTTTTTGCTTCCTCCTCACGCTTGGCCACAGCACTGTGGCATCTTGTGCTGCCTGGATCATGCTCATTGAGTCCTCAGACAATTTGACATTGCAGCCATAGACGCACTCGTCAGACCTGTCGCACTGCAAGATTGAGAGGACCAAAGTCGGTTTTATGACAAGAGCAGGAGAGCTTTCTGTGCACTTCCACGACTCTGGAGAATCTTGGGAATAGGGTTCCATGGTGATGACCCTCAGAGCAACACAATGCGAGAATGGAACCCCGAAGCAATCCATGAGATGCACTGTGCGAGCATCACACATACCACGGGCACGCTCCAAAACGCACTCATAATTCTCCTGCGGTCGGAACCACCTGAGATGGGCAGCAGGCACCAGCAAACAATGGCACTCAACAATCTTTATTCGACCCTTGTGAGCACTGGCGCGTCCTGGCGCTATTGATCTGAATTTGAATATTGTCATTTACTGTGACTATTTCGTTTGTAAAATGATGATATGTTGCACCTGCCTCCTATGTTTCTATGTGCCCTGCCAAAAAGCACTGGTCAGAATAGAAGCCTTTTTCTCCTCTTGCAGAGTGTGGAGCGGAAACATGTCTCAAGGATACGGGGAGAAGTAGCGTGTAACAAGTGCCAACCCAGAGACAAAACCACATTCCTGGATGGCCGCTATCCAAGTCTTGGTGCACATTGCTACTGTACAACTGAATGGCAGATGCAGAAGGCATTGCGGAATGAAATAATAGGAACCCATTGCATGCCTGCAGACATCAGCGCCGACACCCCTGGTGACCTAACATCACACATGTATATTATATTGAACTTTCTTTCTTTCAACTCTGCTCTCGGGATCAAAGGATCCAAAGTTCCATTGGAAACTGTCGATTCAACCAGAAAGCTTCTACAACCAGGCGCTCCATCTCACAAAGAAATAAAACTGTTGGAAGCTTCTGTACATTTTTTCTGGCTGGCATAGGGGGTGCCGCTGTCTGTCCAAACGCAACAACCATCTGGCCAATATTCTGTGAATCACGACTGAAAAAAACCACACGCAATCATGTAACAGAAAGGTCCATGTATGTATTCCAAGAAAATTGCCAAGAAATGTCGCTTGGACCAGCGGCGGACACTAATCAGACTCGGACTTCTGGTCCTGGCGATGCTTCTTCTGAAGCGCCAGGAACTCAGAACATGAGACCCAATGCACTGGCCACCCTTTAGTTTTGGACCACATCTTATAGCCAAGCTCCTTCATGCGCTTCTTGACATAGTGGGTTTCACCCACAAGCTTGGCCCGGTACCCTTTTCCCAAAGGCTGTTGGATGTGCATACGGTATTCCCATAGGGTCTCTTGGCGGCACGGCTGCCCACCGTGAACTGATGATACGGCCGATCCACCTCCCTCCTCTGCTTTGGCGTTTTCTTCGCCGGCTGCGTGGTGCCATGGGATTCTGGAGCGGCGGGAACTGGCGGTAGAGAATCAAAGGCTGCCATCACACTAGGTGGCTCCTCTGGATTGTCTTCTCCCTGATCATCTTCTTCATCTGATGGGATCCACCACGATGGTTCACTGTTGTTCTCACTGTCGCTGTCTGGCGCAACGACATCGTTACTTGAACCGGCACGCGGCATTGCTGGAATGGGCTGCAAACGCCGTGAGCACAAAGGTTTCTTCAAGTCAGATTAGTTTTGGTTTTCTTCACAAATGTGTTCTTTTGAGCCAAGCAATGCAAAAGTATGCAAAAGTGGGCTCTGGCATTAGGCTGTACAAAATGAAAGCCTCTGAGTTGATGCAACCATATACAACCACTTGTCCTCTACAAAATCGAGGCCTTGGACCATGTGAACAACTCCCTAGGGAATCTGTTGAACACACCTTGTCTACAAAATGCTGTCCTACAAGGAAAGCTGGACAAGAGAACACCAGAACCCATCTACAAAATCACGACCGTTGTGTCCGGGCAGTCTTGCTGGCCTGCCACCAGAACAGCCAAATTTGGTTTGGACTGTGATGGCATCCCAATGGTTTCAAAATTGTAGACCAGCGTGAAAAATAAGAAACGCGATAAGCATAGGTTCTGATTTTGTAGAGCAGCACAAACAATCAAATCATAATCAGACGATATCAGTTGTTGGGGTAGGATGCCTATGCACTTCATTTTGTAGACAAATTTGACAATACCATGTCTAGTCTAGGCCTTGATTTTGTAGAAGCGACCAGGCACTCAAATGCTCAAAGGTTATGACTTTGAAGAATTTTGTAGATATAGGCGAAATATTTTTAAAGATCTTTTAAAGCACACGAGCCCACCCTGCACATACTTGCAATATTCTTGCAATCAGGACACTGTGCTTCGGAGGTAACGGTGCTCGTATCCACAGGTCCGGCTGCGGCCACACATGACAAGACCAAACCAAGGAGATACCACACAGCTGCCGCCATGGCTTGCAAAACCCGCAAAGCAAACCAAGAGGTGGATGGGAACTGGGGTACCAAATCGAGGCAATCCGGACAGCCAGCAATCTTCTGGGCCAAACGAAGCAACAATATTGTGGAACAAAATGCTGTCAGTTCATGACGGGAATTTAAACTGAAACGCTCTGGCATTTCCACACAAAAAAAAAACACATTCATGGTTAGGGCCTCGGAATGCCTTGAAAAATCTTTGGATTATCTTTGCCATATCTGTGAAGCGCTGATTTTCCTAAATGTTCTTTGCGCGTTTCTAGATTTGAGAGGATTGAAAGAATTTCAGTTGATGTTCGAATATTCTAATGCCTCATATCTTTGGGATTCTTTGGGCAATTTTGGGGGCGCCAAAAGAGTGCTCGACATCTTGCCGATATTCAACTACCCCATACTACCCCTAAAAAACTACCTGCGGAACCCCTCCATGCAATGGAGAAACTTTGCCGCCCTTTGGTCTGTCATCGCTGATCCGTCCAGAGAAGGTCCACGTAGCGTTCTGCCTGGAGTGGCAATTTTGGAAGGGTAGAAAAAAACAATGAACATTTTCGGAACCAACTAGCGACAGTTCAGAATCCATGCATGTGTATCAAAAGGTTCTGCAAGTATCCAAAACTCACTGGGTGACATTTTCAAATGGCAATGATTGTGCATGATTCTGCGAATGTTTTTTCAGGAAACTTCTCATCCAATTTTTCAAGAACATGAGAGATAATTGCGAACTTCAAAGATCTTCACCCCGAACATCCCTGAAGAATCCCAGCATGAGGATCCATGTGGGGCAAATAATGGCAAAACATGGATTGTCACCAAGATGCGCATTCCAAAAATAGTGGTGGTGGCTGCGTCTGCCAATCCCAGTGACTTTGTCACAACGCGTGACTCAGCAGGAATAGACAGGATATGAGAAGGCTTGAGAAGGGCATAGAAGGGCATAGAAGGGCTATATTTTTTCGGATTTTCGGCTGCGACTTATGGGAGCCTCTATTATCCCAGCATTATCCCAGCATTAGCGTTATTGACGTAAACTAACGTTGATGAAGGAAGAACATCAGCGTTATTAAGTTATCGACGTTTATCAGCGTTATTAGTGTTTATATTAACGTATGTTAGCAATATTAACATCCATTGGCCTCAAAAAAATCTTTCTGAAAAAGTGTATCTATCCCAGGCAAGTGAAATTGTCCGGAACTCTGCTCCCGGCTCGCTGCTTCAAGAATTAAAGATGATTCTCCATGCATTGCGCGTCACTGCCACGAGACAGCAGCAAAATTTGGGCAAGCGGCTCCACGCATCTCGTTCGGAATCCCACTTCGGGGTGGGAACCGTCTCGCCGCATTTTACCTGGGCAGGAGCTGTATCAACCGAATTTCAACCGATATGCTAAGTTTTAAAAAGAACGGATCGCAAAAGTTGACCACTGGGTGCAAAGAGCAGAAGCCTGCAGACTACTTCAACCAATTGAAATGAGAGCGTGAAAGAAATGAACATTGTACTGTACGTGAGGAAACTGCAGACCAGTCGCGCATAACGCCGGCCAGCCATCAGGAGGCATGGCCGAGGCAACAGGGTTGCTAGGCTGCATCGTGAAAGTCAATCTGTTGAGCACCAACGACTTCATATTCCAAAGAGCCCATGTTGTGAAGTATGTCAACGTAGTCGCATGTACTAGAGGAAAACAAAGAAAAACAATGAGAAACATAATCCAAGCATATCCAAGCGCTATGATTCTTGAGCCGTGGCTGTTAGGAGGCTCGCATGAAATGACAGCCCCTGGCCCTTTATGAAAACATGTGTTTCACCCAACCCCTGTATAAAATGAAGGCCTATGACCATATACTAGAACCCAAGATTGCCCAGGTATCTTGCTTAAAATGATGACCTATGCCCCGCCAAGAAAAACCTAAACACCCAAAACCTAAAAAAAACAATGTGTTTAAAATGATGGCCCATGGCCCACTATGGCGAATGCTTTTTAGGATGTCTAAAATGAAGACCTATGGGGTGTGCATAAAATGAAGGCCTATGGCCTACTGCAAATGATGCAACCAGGGACCTGTATAAAATGCACTGTGTTTGAGGCCGCTGGGCGTCCTCATTTTGTACATGAAATCTAGAGGGGTATTCTAATACTATACGACACGTCGCGCTCTCTTTGGTCAACCCTTCCACACTGGAAGTCTTGGGCAAACCTTATAGGAAGGAGATGTATGGCCGACACCCTCCCGGAATGAATTTTGACCGGGGCATTGCCCCCCTGCGGGCCAGCCGGTACTTTCCAATCTTCGTGCGCGCGGCACCAAGGCCCACGCAATGCCGCAAGATAAAGACACCGCAGGTTTGCAAACAAAGTGGTACACTATCTGTGCGGTTGCCACCCCATCTTTCGGCATCATTTTTACCGTCATGAAGCAGCGGGGGGGTTCAGATTCAGATAGTATTCGGTTCTTTTCCGCTGCCGCTTGTGCATAAGCTGCTGCCGAATTTGACCCAACGAAGACTGCAAGTTTTGGCTTGCATATACTGTATAAGTTTGAGAAACTTCTGCTGGAATTCCAACATGATGCCGCAAAATCTTCTGAAGCAGCTGCATTGATTTATTTTTGCAGCTGTTTCGAAGAACCTTTTCATCCTTGAAAGCTTTGATAATGTTTCACGACTAGCTCTTCAATGTTTTGACAATGTTTTCAACCTTTGCAAAGTCAGAAATTTCAAAGTACGGCCATAGCTGAGAAAATGCTAGAGGAAACATAATTTTAACAAACTGCGCGCTTGAAAAAATAAGAATTCCGATCTTTGTGGAACATTTTCTGAAGCCTGTGCAGATCAATTCTTTGATTGAAAGTTCAGTAATTGTTTGGAGGAGGCGTTCAGCTTTTCAAATTTTGATACAAAAAGGGCATATGCACGTGTATGTTCCGTATCCGAAGATTTTGAAAAATTCAAAAAAGTTCTGAGATCTCAATGCCTGAACATTTTTCCTAAAAGCATCTCCTGATTGTGGATTATTGGAAGCGATTGCAAACTGATATTGGCACAAATGCCAGAAAAGGCTCAAAAATCTTTATTTGTAGAAAAATCAAAGAAGTTCTGCAAGAAAAAAATCTGAAAACTGAATTGCTGTGAATATTGAATTCAGCTTACGTCGGAAGCGAATCCGGAAAAATCGCAAGACTGAATTGCCGACCTTTTGACGGTTTTAACGAACTTGGTTTTAACAGAAAAGATTTAGACAAACAAAAAACATGATTTTTGGATCTTTATCTTGTTGTCTTAAACCTTTTGAAGCTGAACAGTAATTAAAGAAAACCTGGAATCTCAATTTGAAACAGTTCGCTTTTGTGGCTGAACTCTTATTATCCAAAGACCCATTTTTCAGACAATGAAAAGAAAAAAATTGAATTTCAGTTCTCTGAGCCTTGACAGCTTTACGCTATCTCTGATTGTAAAGCAAAATAAAGCAGGAAAAGTTCACAAAGAGAAGCAGAGAGCTCAGAAAGCTAAATTTCTATGACCTTGTTCGTTTTGGCTCAACTTCTCTATTATTTCTCTCCATGTTGAAAAGAACGAAAAAGGGACAAAGATCAGGAAAAAAAAACGAATCCAGAAAACTGAGTGTCTGTTTTTTTTCAAATTTCAAGTTTGTGATATTTTTGGTATTGGAAAAAACATTCAGAAGAATCAGAAACTGTTCGGTCATTTCTGAAAACCAAAAAAAATTCAGGAAGGTGATTGTTTTGAACTTGCTGGATTTTTCCCATCTTCTCGTTGTGCATGATGGTGTACATGTCAATCAATCAATAAATCTTTGGGAATACAAAGAAATCTCAACTTCTGAAGACCATATTTTGCAATACAAAGGGGAAGTATCGGAAAACTTCTGGAATTCGTGTTAAGTTTAAGACTCTTCCGGTTTTTTCCTTTCTATTTCAAAGCGTAGCGCGTCAATCCAACCAACGGCGCGCCAGCCGCAACTTTGAACGCACTTCCTGAAAAGTCATTGTTGCTCTCAAAAAGGCTGCAAACATGTTTTTCTTCCTTCGTTTCGCCATGTTCAATCCTTTCGGTTTCTCTTATTTCAACGGTATCCTTTCGGGAATTTCTCGACCCAACTTTTCTTGTGCCATGAAGCGTGAACAAGTTTCAGCATGTTCAGCCCTTTAAAGACATGACTTAAAGATAAGATACGTAGCGCGAGTGCTTCAAATATTTTCATGCTATATGCAGATACTTGCAACTTCCTTTGCGGTTCTATCTGAAGTTACAACTCAGTTATACAGCACTTTACGGACTCGTAAGCAGCTTGCCTTACTTGTAAATGCCTTGCGGATATGTTACGCAGTTCATCAAACCTAGAACTTTGATATTAGAAAATTACAATATCCGTAAACAATTTCTGGCAGGGCACCTCACGCCTGAATCTTCTTGCAAGACCATCCCGTGTCCCTTGCATTATTTTCTGGGCGGCTAGCTTCCCTCGCTTCGTTCAAAATGATCGAAAATGAAACTCAACGCATGCATTCTAGGTGTTGGCACAAAAGTAGAGTTCCGGGTTACTGGAGCAAGCAAAGACCAAGGATGCGCTTGAAAAAAAGTGATGTGGAACGCAATGCGTGTAATACTTTTAACTCAACATGCTAGGCGTTCTGAAAACCTGGTGGTCAAGAAAATCATTTGTTTTCTTCCTTCGTCTTATTTCTCCGCAACGCAGCAGGGAGTTGGCACGGATGAATAACTCGCTGGCTTCCTGCAAGACCACGCACCTGCCCACTAATTGTCTATACCTGGAACTATTTATCTTGTTTCCCTCAGCTTGCAGCAAGCAATCAAAACAGTACTGCCGGGTTTTCGAACAGAAAAGGTACCTCTCAATACACCTTAAACCCTACGGTTACACGCCGCAACTATACAGCACATGTGCCCCTCGCACCGTACACGTGCTCAGACATACGCACACACCGTATGAACACCCCATGCGTACTGTACACGACTCCTGCGCGCACCGCACGCGCAAACCACGCGCACCGTACGCGCACACCGCGCGCACCGTACGCACACAACGCGCGCACCGTACGCACACCCCGCACGCACACCCCGCACGCCCCGTGCGCACCCCTTCTCGTACCAGAACGGTAGGGTACAAGTCAAAACCTTGTTCTCACCATTCTTGGATTTAGCTAAATATATATATATATATAACTCCAAATTGCTCCATTAAGGCACTGCACACCATAGGGTGAAGCAATATCGCTTGCGGAAGTTGGGCAACACTTCGTGTACCTCAGCGCTGGTCAGGACTGAGATGATAGGATTCAACCACCATCACTGCGACAACAACCACAAGGACAACACTATTGAAAAAGGAAACCAGAAACAAAACAATTAATTAAGAAGCAAACAACAAACGTCAACAAACACAGAAAGACCATAACGATAACCCCAGCCACGACAACCACCCTACTGGTAGTTCTGATAACCTCTTGGAATGTTCGGCTGATGATGTCAGTAGTTGTCCAACTCACTGAACTGGTCAAGTTGCCAGGCGCGGATGAAACAAAACCAGTCGCCCGAGAAGAGGAGCGATCTTCACTGGTGCTGATGGATATGGATACACTCGCAGTTCTCCTCCGTGTTCTGAGGTCCATCCTTCATTCAAATAGAATAGAGCCGTCACACGCAAGACTTGCCGTCCTGGGAGCGCGAGCGCGAGCGTGTGGCCGATGCGAACCACAGCTCCACGAAACATATGCATCACGATGTCGGGAGACATCAGGGTCAGTGCTGGACCATCCCAATCAGCGGAGAATTCTACAAACATATACAACAAATTGTGAGCAATATCATTAAATAACAATAAGCCACCCTATTCATCCACATTCCACACAATCAACTGCCTGCCACGGACTTTCCTAACGGTCCTATATTCTATATAACGACATACAGATTTGATCCCTCTATGACACATGATCCTTTCCATGCCCCTTGGTGCGAGGCTTCCATCTTCCTCACCAGAAACGCCGGAGTCCGTGTGCATCGTGTAGCAGCCACCATTGCCCTTGTTGATCTGCAGTCCTTGGACCAAGAGCCGCCGATAATGGTTGGTCAGTGGCGGTCAATGGGGGTTCCTCATTTATCGAACCAATGATCCTGTGATGACAATCCCAAATATATTGGGTGGTGTAACTCCCTATAATCATCAACCGAATGGGGGCATTGAACATTTTGGAATCGGAGTTGAACTGAAAATTGGTGCACCATGGTCTGCCCCAACACCAACGCTTTCGGAGTTAAACTGACACATCTTTGATGGCCAACGGTGACACCAAGATTCTCAAGTGCTGCATAGAGAGGTCCCGCAGCACTGGCAGCCTGCGCAAGACCCGCAGCAAACCTTCGTCCGTGCCCATGCGAGTGAAGGTGGGCGCATAGAAACGAACATCTTTGAAGTCCAGGGTGGTTTCCTGAATGTTGGCTGGAACAGATTTCACCCGCCAAAAATGGCAATCTTCCTGTCCAAAAACAGGGATTCAAGCAATGAAAATAAACATGAAAATGGCGGCTTTCCCAGAACTTGAAAGCAGCAGAACTTAAGTGGGTCAACCACTATTTAAAACAAACCGTGATGCTTATAGGAACCCTGCGAGCTAGGAAATATCATTAATTCTGCCTGATTGAGCAACTATCCTTGACAAAACGCACAAGGATGTTAAGGCTCCAAAAAGACAAGGGCGAATGTCAGCCACAACATGTCTATAATCATACGGAAGGTCAATTGGCTTCAAATGAGCAACCTGGCCTCCTGCAGAAACAAAACTCAACATCTTTCCTATCCCTGGACAACGCCCAAAACGTCCAAGCAAGACCAAGCCACACAAATATCATGATGCAGGGCTCCCTCTTCATGTGAGTAGGATTGACTATCCCACATCTGGCCATTCTCCAACAAGATGTCCATTTCATGGCGCAAAGTCTCGCAAAGTGCAG